ACTGTGGAAAATCACTAAAAGCCCTCCTCCTGGGCTCATTTCTCCATGAGTGTTCAGAAATTAGAGTGCTGCTAATTGGAACTGGTTCGTAGGAAGGAAATGCCCACTCAAGGAGCCCCCAGAACTGACACCCTTAGGGCACCCTGGTCCTGGCAGACAACCACTTCTCTGACAGTTGTAACCTGAAAGGTAGTTTTTCTTTCTTTTCTCACTTTCATCTCTAGGTTTCAGACTCAGAGAAATTTCTTTTCCTGTATACTTTTACCATCCACATTTCCACTGCACTACATCTGGATTTATTCACACCCTGTCCTCTTGCAGAATTTCTGGATTATAAAAATTTGTTTTTTGATTTGTGATTTTTATATGGAAAATCTTACAGAACTTTATACATTGTACCTGATTTATATAATTGACAAGCTGCTTTTACAATAGCTTCCATAAACTTAGAAATGTATCAGAAACTTTGGGTAGAATAGAAAGATTTAGACGTGGAAGATGGAAAATGGACAGACATAGGAAACATAGGTGTATAATGAAGGTATCCACAGTGACTGGATGCCCAGCCCCCATTGTAAGACAGATATGCTATGAAAGGCCCTAACAGTTCTGCTTCCAAGTTTCTGGAAATTTCTCCAGCCTCCAGCCTCCACTCAGCAATCCTATTCTGTCCCTCTGTTTGTGTCTTTACTTCCAATTGTATTTATTGCCTAAGTGGATGTATATGTATATGCATGTACATATAGCTGCATGTATGTGTATATGCAATATGTATGTGTACATGTCTAATATTTGTGTGCATGTATGTATACGTTTGTGTATGAATATGTACGTGTGTATATGTCTATGCTTGTATATATGTATTTATGTCTGCATATGTATGTGTATGTGGTGTGTATATATGTGTGTGGTGTGTATATATGTGTGTTGGGTATGTATATATGTGTATTTGCATATATGTTGATCCTGGATTTGCTTCTGACAGATATAAAACATAGAATGACACTAACTTTTTTTAAATCTACGAACTGCCTATGTTGTTATGAGAGTCCTGAGGAGTGAATAAAACTTTTTTTTTTAATCGGTGGCCTTTCATGTGGGAAGATAATTCTTCGACATAGGTCCTTAGGCAAATTTAGCTGCCACTTTCTGACCTCTACTAAGAAAACAAAATGATAGGGAAATATTTTAAACATTTTAAAAGGCCATTAACTCGTAAGTAAGAGCATTTTACTATTGATTTGTAATGATGTTGAATACCCTTTAGCGAATAAATTATAGAAGGGTCCCAACTCCAGCTGCCTCTGCTGCTAGAGAGCATGGTATTCAGTATTCAGTCAGCTCTTCATTTCCTTCACTCAATCCCAGACTCAGGTCAGGAGAAAGGAATGTTGTTAACAGTAGCTTAGTACCGTGCCTACCACATAATTAACCCTGTATAAATATTAACTTTTACTCTCCTCACAGGCCAAGGGGATATTTCACATAAGTATATTTCCCAAACTGCTTGCCATATGTACTTACACTGTGTCTCCTCCCATGGTTGGAATACACTGGGGGTTGGGGGGATTTTGAAAAGGTGACATCATCTCTCATTAGATGCTCCCTCTGTGTATGTCCCTAGCTGTGACCCCAGCCATCCCCAGGAGGTTCAAAGTCTGTGTCTACTGTGAGACACCTCATCTACCTCTGCCTCCAGGGATTTGCTTCAGCTACCTCCCGTGGTTCCTCCCCTGATGGAGGACCCAGCTGTGGTCACTCCAGTGGCGTTACTTAGGAGACCGAACCAAAAGAGCAGAGAACACTACGCTGGCCCTTCCTACACCCTTTCACCTCAACATGTTCTGATCCACAACAGGACTACATTACATTCAGTTGTCTGGATTCTGCTTAAGGCAGAGGAAGTCCAGGAATCAGCTGGGATGGGGACACTCTTCCTCCTTCTCCTAGCTGTGGCCTCAGCCACCCCAAGGTCAGGACCACCACATTCACTCCCAGGCCAGCCAATGCTGCAGTTTTGGCTAACATCTTTGGTTTCCTTCCTGATTTGACTCTTAGCAGACCTTTAGCCCACTGTCACATATGCAGAATGAGAAAGGAAAGTAATTTTTGGTTATTAGAGGTTCCCAAACATCCCCATGCATCAGAATCACCTGGAGGGCTTCTTTAAACAATTTGCTGGCCCCACCCTGAGTTTCCCTTTTAATATCCAGAGCTCGCTTCCAGGACTGTAACTCCACACTCAGAGGCAGCCCACATTTGGTTTACTGATTTGCAGTCGCCATCTTGAAATGCTTAATGCTTTTTAAGCATGGGGCCTCACATGTTCATTTTGCACTGGGTTCCACAAATGTTGTAGCCAGTCCTGTCAGTAGGTCCAGAATGGAGCTGGAGAATTGACATTCCCAACAAGTTCCCGAGTGAGACAGATGCTTCCACCCTGGGATGCACACTTCACAACCACTCAAAGAGATCTTGCAGACCTAAAGAATAGAGGAAAGGGACAAGGGACAGTGGCCCTCTGCCTCCTCCTCTCTCACCTCTACTTAATCAGATGCAGTCAGAGATATTAAAACAAAGGAACAAATGATGTGGCAACTTCAGTTAATTTTGTTATTGTTATTATTGTCTTTGTTTGATTTTGTGTCGTTTTCACCAACTAAATGCTTTCATGAGGCATACTGCCTTTTCAGCACCCCCCCCCCACAATATAGGTATGATTTCCCCTGCCTGTATATCAGTCCAAAAAATTTTTGAAACAGCTTGAAAAATATGTAAAGTGAAACAATATAAGTAATTAGAGATATTATAAGTAATTTGAAATGTTAGGGAAAGGAAAACAATATAAAGAGTGATAAGATGAAGTTGGGATGCAAAACTCACAAAGGTACCCCCAAGCTTCAAAACACCGACTCAACTGAAGCCTTAATTCTCTGAGCCTTTAGCCATCATAGGAGACAGAAATACATTATTTACTACATGATTCATGGCTCCTTAGGGTAAAAATAACCTACTCGTTCAGTAGCCCAGATGTCCCTAGTACCAAAACTTAAGGGATATTTCTTCCATCAAGTACCTTTATGCACATAACTCCTGGCTAAATCTTCAACTTATAACACTTTGTTGAATGTATTCTGTTCTACATGGGTTGTAACATGGATGAGCAAGACATAAGAGAATTATTGGGCTCTCTGTGAGCTAAAATATGACCTTTCCAAAACTTTCCTCCCAATATGAGCGGGGCAAAACATAAAACAAAGCATTGGTAGCACTGATTTTCTTTTGGTTTAGCTAATGAATTGACTCTCTAAGTATCCCATACAATAAGGCTTTGTGTACTATTATTGATGGAAAAATATGACATATATTTTTACTGAGTGGACACAAGACATTTTTATTAATGACTGGAAAAATGTCAACTAAACAGGGAAAACAAAATCATCCCAGTAATAAAATTTCTAGCCCTAATCAGAACAAAGAACACGGATTCTGAGCTCATGTTAGCTTCCAGTTCAACACATGTGATTTTTCTCATTTTCATAATAAACTTTCTTTAACCAGTGACAGCCCATGATAACAGACAAGTGTCTATTCATTTTCTTTGTGTTTTCTCAGCTAGAATGAGGAAGACTTTTTCCCCTTTAATTAGATTGGGTGGTTAAATAACTGCCCTCTCACCACTTTCCTGCAGAAATTGGTGGCCTAAAGATCTGGAAAATCATCCTCATGGCAGTCCTCTTGCTTCTTCCCATAAAATTATGTGATATGAGTTCAAATAGGAAGCAAGGAAGGGGCTTCTTTAATCCATGTCGGTAGTAAATGTCCTCAGCAAGAGTGCTCAAGACCCTGGCTGCCTCAGTTATGACTGTGGTGGTATCACAGATGCTGGGATGTTTTTTCCCCTGGATACTAACCCCTGCTGGGAACCTCAGATGGAGCTAGACCCCTGTGAATGCATTCCTCCAGTTTGCATGCACAAAGCCATTTGGTTAGGGAAGTATTGCTCAGGCATGTGTTTACCTTCTTTAAGTTTACAAAGGATTTGTTTTGAAAAATTAAGCCAAAAGAGAGCAAAAACTAGTAAAGAGAAGTGAAGTAAGGGAGAAGAGATACAGGTTCTGAAACTTTTAATCAATCTGTCATTGTTTCCCTTCAAGATGTTGTCAGGGCCACTGTTCTGAGGAGGGTAGAAAATAAAGATGTTTCCAGGTAAGACTTCCATGCTCTTTTCATTTCCTCAAGTTCTCATTTTTCCTGTTCCACATACATTTTCACTGTTATTTCTGTTTCTGTGACAACTCATGAACACAGGACTTTGATAATGGTATACTAATTAGCACATCATATCAGCTTATAAAAGCACTAGTATCTTGCAGAATCATTTTAGATGTATTTGAATAAAATGGAGTCTAGTGACTCCATTTTCATTCATTTGTTTTTGTCGCCACGTTATACGTGAAATACTTATTCCCACTGGTGGCATCATCATCTTCATCACATGAAGGATAGATTTACTTACACTAAGTATTTTGGGGGAAAAGAAAAGTTGTCCCTAAAGCCGCAATGAACTTCAAGCAAAGTGTCAACCATAGTTTTATAGGAAGGTGAAAGAGTTATCTACTAATGTATCCTTACCTAATAGATAGTGAGCATCAGACTTTCACTTAAAAATGGAAGCAGGAATGAGTCCCTGAGGCACTTAGCGATCCACATTGGCAAATGCAGGGCTCCTTGTCTGTTTCATTCCCACCCTGCCTTCGCCCATTGGCTTTTCCTGTTACTTCTGTTGGGTTTGACTGCCCTCTGCTGGTCATATCATTGAAACACTTTCACCTCATGGATGTAGATGTCTTGGAACATTGCTCCAACTGGTCTTTTTTTTTTTTTCAGCTCCTGTGTCCATGCATCCTCCTCCGTCATTTGTGTAACAGCCGTATTGTTTGATTCTGGTCACCACTTGTTAACACACTGACACATTTGTAATTGTCTCGTTGTGCCAGAAGCCCTGACATGCTGCAGTCAGAAGTTTCCTTTTCCGTGGGAGGGAGGCATTCATCTACAGACTCCAACAAGGCCTCCAGCGGCGACATCTCCCCTTATGACAACAACTCCCCAGTGCTGTCTGAGCGCTCCCTGCTGGCTATGCAAGAGGACGTGGCCCCAGGGGGCTCGGAGAAGCTTTACAAAGTGCCAAGGCAGTTTATGCTGGTGGGCCACTTGTCCTCATCAAAGTCAAGGGAAAGTTCTCCTGGACCAAGGCTTGGGAAAGGTAACTGGAGCCTGGCCAGCCGGCACTGGCCAAAACAAGTGACCCTCCTCTTGTTGCATGTGGCATGGTGTGGGGCTCCTCGGACCTTCTCTTCATCTCTCCCTTATTTGATGTTTCTGTAATGCAACCACCATTTATCGAGTACCTGCTGAATGCCTACTCTAGGAAGAGGAAGGTGTGGTGAGCCCAGTTGTTGGCTGGGTAGGTGGCCACAGGCCACGCTCCAATTCTCAGATATCTGGGAAATAAGCGCATGCCCAGAGGAGCCACTCCTATTCCCAGCTGACTCTTTTTCCCTCCAGCATCCTAGGAACTTTATGTGTACTGGGCTTGGGTTGCATATTTGCTAGTCTAATGCCACCCAATTACTGCTGTTGCTTTTCTAAAGAAAACAAGCTGAACCTACTATGTATCAAGACAACCTTCCAGAACCAAATAGTGTTAGTATCCAGTGACAAGAGCACTAGACTGGGAGTCACATATCTGCTCTGCCACTTTCAACCTGCGGGATCTCCAGTGAGCCATTGAGCTTCCCAGAGTCCCATTTCCTCCTGCCGTGAAAACTCAGAATGATAACAGTATTTAATTCATTGAGTTTAATGAACTAATCCATGTAAAGCCCTCAACGCAGCACTTCGAATGTCATACGCACTCGATAATACTTGCTGTGTAATCTTGTGTGCATTTCTTACCTGCTCCTTATGCTAGTTGCCTCGTCTGTAAAATGATCTCCTGGGAACCTCCTAGGAATGAAGTGAGATAACGCATGTGAACTGCTGAACACGTGGAGGCACCCAGTAGACGTCTGCTGCTATAAATCGTAATTATGATCCCATCACGGGATTGTAGTGAGGATTAAATGAGATGGTGAAAAAGTCTAATGTAGTGCCTTGCTCCATAAATATTGATGGATAAGCTAAGGGGATTTATGAATGAATGCATGCATGAAGAAATATGATGATACCAATAGCAAAGTATTCCTGAGGGTAGTACAGAAACTATGCTGTTCCTCTAGCTCTGTGTTAATGTGGTTAAGGCCTATAAAGCTGTTGCCACCCATCACCCTTCTATTCATTTCCTGTAACACGCAAACTTATTATTTTATGGTTCTGGAGGTGAGAAGTCTAAAATGGGTCCACAAGGCCTCTTTCCCTTCTGGACATTCTAGGGCATAATTGTTTCCTTGCCTTTTCCAGCTTCTAGTAGCTGCTGCATTCCTTGGCTCAAGGCCCCTTCCTCCATCTTTTAAGCCAACAATCTAGCAGCATCTTCTCTCCTGCCCCTCTCTTATGAGGACCCTTGTAATTATATTGGCCCCATCCAGATAATCCAGGAAAATCTCCCCATCTCAAGAACCATAATTTAATCACATCTGCAAAGTCCTTTTTGAAAATAACATCTTTGTAGATTTGTGAGATTATGACAGACATCTTTGCGGGGGGGCTTATTCTGTCTACCACAAGCATGATATACAAAGAGCTTTTTTTGTAAATCCCAAGTAGAATGAACATGCTGAAAGTTAGATCAGAACTGTATTCTGTTTTGTATGCAACACGACCTCGAATGCAATACTTTGCACAGAAGAGATGTTATTGAAATGTTCATCGATTTTTAATTTTCCTTTTGTGTTATATACCTTTTTATACACTTTTTTCCTAGATCTGTCAGAGGAACCTTTCAATATCTGGGGAACCTGGCATTCAACATTAAAAAGTGGATCCAAAGACCCAGGAATGACAGGTAAAGTATTAATTTTAAACTTTATTGCATTTACTTTTAAAATTATTTTGCAAAGTTTTGTTTACTATAATTTTATTATATGCCTGTCAAATATAATTTGGGAAGTGCTGAAAATAAGACGGGATGAAACGAACCTTAGGCTTTCCATCCAAATATGACAATCTTTGACTATATTTTATTCTATTTCCTTTGCAAAGGTTTTCATAGTTACAATCATTCTGTCTGTGCAACTTTGTATTATTTTCTAACTTCCATTTTCCAGTTATTCTCCATTTTCCTTTTTTTGAGAAAGAGTGTCACTCTGCTGCCCAGGCTGGAGTGCGGTGGCACGATCTCGGCTCACTGCAACCTCCACTTCCCGCTTTCAAGCGATTCTCCTGCCTCAGCCTCCCAAGTAGCTCGGACTACAGGCACCAACCACCACTCCCTGCTAATTTTTTTATTTTTAATAGAGATGGGGTTTCACCATATTGGCCAGGCTGGTCTCGAACTCCTAACCTTCTGATCCGCCCACCTCGGCCTCCCAAAGTGCTGGGATTACAGGCCTGAGCCACCGAGCCCGGCCTCTCCATTATTCTTTTTAAGGGCAAGGAATATTCCACAGAGTGCATATTCATAGTTTACAACCCAATACTAAGTCATTTGAAATTTTTTGTTATCATTGTAATAAGTTCCACTGTTAGGAGCCTCTTTTGTGTAATTATTTTTTCAAATTACTAATAGATTCACAAAATGTTAGAAAGCAAGTCAAAGGTTATAAATCCCAAACAGGAAAGTGGGTCAAATATAACAAGCCTTTCCAAGAATCTGGAGATACAGTCTCCTCCTGTTCTGTGTAGGATCCATTAGCTTGCATTCTGTAAACTGCGGATGGCAGGACATTTTCCACTGCTGTCTGCAAATCTCATCATATTACAAATTTGTGGGTTTTCACTTTTGCTGTGGGTTTTCATTTTTGCTAACTGAAAAAACAAAATTGCATTTATTTATTTGCATTTCTTTCTCACCAGTATTTTTCAGTGTTTCTATTAATTCACTGAATTTCCCCCCATTGAATTGTTACTTATATCATTTCCTATTTATGTATGCTAGAATTTTTTAAATTGATTCTTGTGAACCCTTTATATAATAAAGACGTTAACTCATTTTCCATATTGTTTACCACTTGCATTTTCTTTTTTACGTAATTTTATCACTGTCTCTTTTCTGTGAATTCTTTCATAATCTTTAGTTCAGCATTGGATACTCAGTGATCTCTATGCATTTCTTTTTAATGTTATTTCATTGTTTCAACGCTTAATTTTTTTAATCCATCTGGAATACGTCTCATGTATGGTATACAGTGTGTAAATTATTTGTTTGGTTGTTTTATATTTATATTCCCCTTATTGTTTTGCAGTATCTCCCATATTACATTTTAAAAGCACAGTGCATTTTTATTTATTATTAATTATTTTTTGAGGTGGAGTGTTGCTCTGTTGCCAGGCTGGAGTGCCCTGACACAATCTCAGCTCACTGCAATCTCCGCCTCCCAGGTTCAAGCGATTCTCCTGCCTCAGCCTCCTGAGTAGCTGAGACTACAGGCGCACAACACCACACCGAGCTAATGTTTGTATTTTTTGTAGAGACGGGGTTTCATCATGTTGGCCAGGATGGTCTCAATCTCTTGACCTCATGATCCACCCATCTCAGCCTCCCAAAGTGCTGTGATTACAGGCATGAGCCACCGTGCCCAGATGCACAGTACATTTTTAAATTTGATGGCCTCTAGTACCGATTCTTTTTCTAACTATATCTCGTATCCTGTGAAGAGCCTTACTCCCTTTTCCTTCTCCAGGTTCAGTTGTCACCTGTTTCAGCTATCATTTGTTTCTTTGTGAATACTCAGATCCCTCACTCCCCTGCCCCCAACATGGCCTTGTTCTTGTTCCTTGTCTGCTTTTTAAGAAGTGGGAGATAGAGCAGATTCATAGGAAAATGGTAGTCTGGGGACACATGCCCCAAGGACTCCTCCTTTGCCTTCAAAATGGACTGTCATTTCTTTCCCTCAGTTTCATAAAGAAAGCTGTATCCTTTAGGGAAAGCTAACTGCTATAACAACTCCAAAGTGTGAGTGGCTTAAGCTATTACAACTGGATTTCTCTCACTGTCCCAGTACAGTATAGATTGCAAGGGGGTGAGGAGGGGTGGGAGTGGGTAAGGGAGGGAGTGCTGTCTTCCACAGTCACTCAGGGGCCCAGCCTAGGCTCTAACATCTTCAGAGCCCTGAGGAGTCCTCCAAGACTTCACGCTTGGCTGGTAGTTAAGGGAGGCGGGAAAGCAAAGAACAGCGGGAAGGCATTTGTTTCGTTTTATTATTAGTTCAGGCCTAGAAATGGCTCATGTCACATCTGTCCATATTTGTTGCCTAGACCTCATTTCTGTGGCCCACCTCACTGCCAGAGAGGCTGGGAAATTCCATGTAGGAAGTAAAGGGGAATGCCTGGGTGAGCACCAAGTGTGTCTTTTCCACACTGACGATGGGAGAATATGCACAGTGGCTGGCCTGTCTTCTGGCACAGAACGGGGTACTTGAGATTCAAGTCACTTCATTGATGTGATAGAAACATGAAAACAAAATTCGTATCTCTCCTGGATTACAGAATGCATTGAAAAGGAGGGAATGCTTCTTTCACCTTCTGGATTCTGAAAAGTTTTCCCAGCCATGTAGAGGGGCCCTTTCCTGAAACACGAATTGGTGGTAAAACCAATTATTAATCTAGTTTGACATCCCAGCTAACCTGTCAAAGTCTAGGCATACGAATTGAGCATTTGTTTTGCTGGGAAGGTCCTTTTCTTTAGGCAGCAGCAGCTAAGATCATACTGTGCAGTTTCAGTTTTAGAAGTCCACTGGGACTTCTTAGAAGTGAGAACGAAATAACAGGATTTGAATCTCCAAGAAGGATTCTACAAACTCATTCCACTTCTTGGCTTTCCCTCTGGCTACCAGGTTCCTCTGGAGACATTTTTGAAAGCAGCTCCCTAAAAGCGGGGCCCTGCTCCCTTTCTCAAGGGAACCTGTCCCCGAATTGGCCTCGGTGGCAGGGGAGCCCCGCAGAGCTGGACAGCGGCACGAAGGTGGCTCAGAGGACTCAGCCCGCGGCCTCCGCGACAGAGGGCAGGGCCCACACTGCGGTGCCGCGTGCCTACAGTACGCCCCACGTCCAGGGTGACAGTGGGAAAGCCGAGAGGCCCATGGCCACATCTGAGCAGTACTTGATCCTGAGCAGCGCCCACGACCTCAGCGAGAGCGAGCTGGACTTGGCCGGGCTGCAGAGCCAGGCCACATCGACGTGCCAGAGACCCCGTGGGAGCACGAGGGATGACAAACGGCCCCCGCCTCCATACCCAGGCCCCGGGAAGACCGCAGCAGCAGCGGCGGCCTGGATCCAGGGGCCCCGGGAAGGCGCAGGGACAGCCGCGGACCAGGGAGGGCAAGAGGCCGAGCGAGAGCAGCAGGCCGCACAGAAAAAACTGAGCAGTGTCAACTCCCTGCCAACGGGCAACCAGGACAGTCCGCACCTGGGGGACGCTGGCTGGCTCGACTGGCAGAGAGAGCGCTGGCAGATCTGGGAGCTCCTGTCTGCTGACAACCCCGATGCCCTACCTGAGACGCTGGTCTGAGCCCACACCAGCCGAGCCCCTCCTGCCCCGTGCCCTCCCCCCGCCCTCCAGCCCAGGGGAAAACGTGGGTGGTGGCCACTGGTACACTTAGTGTTCTTCTTTCACACTTCCCAAAAGCAACACGAGAAATCCAGTTCACCCACAGAGGTAGAGCACTCACGCCCCTGCCATTGAGAATAAGGTTCCATTGCATAGCCAGCCTTAGGAAAAACAAACAGAACCCAAACCGAATGGCAATGTCCAATATAAAAACGTCCCTCTTGGCTCTATAATAAGATACAACTCTTGCTTTCGTATAGCCTAACTGTATTTATGTGTCTTCAGTTTTGACTATTGTATATTCTGTAACAGATTATGTATGATAATCATATATGATATATTCACAAAGAGAAAACAAAAGGAACATTTTTTTAAAAATCACTTCACTTATTTTAAGCAATGAAATATACTAAACAATGAGATTCTATAGAATGTTCTAGAATATGCACAAGCGGGTTTCTGTGCTTTTGCCATAGCTTTATAACTGGGGATAACCCTTCCTTCAATACCTAACAAAAACACTAACAAGACGAAATACAAGAAGAAAAATCACTGAATGCTTTTTGATATTGAATACGTTTTACGGAAAAATGTTAACTCTGATAGATTACGAAATATATTTTTAGAACTTGTTTAGAAATGACTCAGCCAGACAAGAAAAAGGCAGTGCCTCACAAAGAAATTAAGAAGTTGTCTGTCCCACTTTACGTCAAATTCAGTTTTATATAGGCCCTATATAATAGATATTTATAAAGTATAATTTTTATGTATTTTTCAAAACTACAAACTGGAATCTAACTAACTATAAAGTGTTTAAGAATCTAAATAGAATATTCAAATTATAGAACATGTTTTTCCCTTTGCCCCATAATCATTATTTGCCAAATTACACGCAATTCTTTAAAAACTAAATCACATTTGGAAAAAAAGCCTACAGCTTTGTACTTACATTGTGCCAAAGGCTGAGGAAATGTTTTCTTTCTTAATTTTATGTGTATTGTAAAATGTTCCTACCGTCGTACTTAAGTAGTAAGTTTGAAGTTTTTCAATTGCATAACTGTTTTTGACCAGCAGATGGCGATTCGCTTCAGTATTTTACGCGATTTTTTTCACTTCTGAAGGGAAAGTGTATTATAGAAAAAGATTTTTTTTTTTTTTTTTACATATAAAACATGCTACTCTTAATTTTCATGTTGGTGATGAAATTTCCAGTGGTGTTTCTTAAGGTTCTATCTTGTGCCATGATGAATAAAAAGTTAAGCAAAGGCTTTGCTCCCTGACTTTGAATCTCTTGAATGAATTTGCACCGCATTTCAGACATATACTTCACTATCCACAAGTCCAAGCATAATAAATCATGGCAATTCTATGCATATACATGTATAGCAAAAAATCTGGTTTAAAAATATCAGCTGGTTTTGGGACATCAACTCAGTGGCACCAAAGCATTTAGAAATTTATAATAATTTGTGGTAAGTAAAGGCTGATTTCCTCGACTGTTGAAGAGGTGGTTTCCTACAGGACTGAAACTCAGGTTTTCTGAGTTTCCTGAACTGTGTCCAGCAAGTGTTGCCTAACACAATTCCTGTAAGTTACATCTGCTCTATAGGCCTTAGATGCCTAATTTGATTCAGGACCAAAATAATAAAATCTAGAAGTAGCATGTGATGTTTCTTATTTGGGGAATGGTTGATATAGCTTCAGGCTCTGCCATCAGGTCCAGTACTACCACCTCTGGCTGTGAGTCAGGGGGGATTTGCCTGCAGACCTCTGGTTCTTCCTGACTGCCCACACTCAGCCAAAAGTTGTCAACAAGATCCAGAGGAAATGCTGCTTGGTTATGGATCACAGGTGGCTTTTCTGTGCCACCTACTCTCATCCTGCTCCTCATGATGCTATTTCCTTGGCTTCGAATTTGATCATGATCTCACTAGTTCTTTCCCTCCTTCCTGGACTGGATGGCGTGATACATGGGACTCTTTTTCTACCACATTCTTGCTAGAGTAGTCCTATTTTTTAAAACATCCATATCAATTGAAGTTGATGCCTATGTCAGAAAAGGTAATGAAAATTATGTCCATCTGTTCATAGATCTAAAATAAGCAGTCCTGAAAACAGGACTCAGAATATCTTTTACATATGTCTTAATATGCACTCTCCCTCTCTTTGTATGTTTAAGCCTAGGGGCCGTATCATTAGCTTAGTGAGTGACAGCTAGTTTCTTTCTTTCTTTCTTTCTTTTTTTTTTTTTTTCTTGAGACAGAGTCTTGCTCTGTCGCCCAGGCTGGAGTGCAGTGCTATGATCTCTGCTCACTGCAACTTCTGCCTCCCGGGCCCAAGCGATTCTCCTGCCTGGGCCTCCTGAGTAGCTGGAATTCCAGGCACATGCCACCGTCCCTAGCTATTTTTTGTATTTTCAGTAGAGATGGGGTTTCCCCATGTTGGCCAGGCTGGTCTTGAACTGCTGACCTCAGGTGATCCACCCGCCTCAGCCTCCCAAAGTGTTGGGATTATAGGCATGAGCCACTGTGCCTGGACTTGTTTCTTAAATGCCTTTATCATATTGAAAATAAGCAGTCTTAAAGAAAATACATGAAACCCACAAGACCTGAGGGAAGTTATCCTTTCTAATACCTTATAAATGATATAATACGTGACAAGAAAAAAATAAAACTCAAACTCTTTCAAGCTGTCCAAAACCTCTTTAACAAGCTATTCAAGTCACTCATTCCTCATGAACAGAGAGATTCAACAAGCAAGGGACAAGCTCCAGTGTGTGACATATGTGTCTGCATCTATGAATACTCTGACATTGACATTGAAGCAATATGAACCATTGTTTTGTTTGTTTGTTTTTGTCTTTGGCAACAGGGCCAGAATGTGGATGGCAGAAATGGCCAAATATGAATTTGTCTTGATCCATCTAAGTACCTATTACCATATGTTTGTTGTCGTTTTTCATAGGAAACAAAAAAACCTCTTATACCAATGGAGTTTGTGCAAATTGAGGAAATTTCTAAATAAACCCAGCTTGCTTCTTTTCTTATGCACATTTTAATACACATCTGCTTGGCAGAGAAACAGCATTGGGATTAAACATAAAGGGACGTCAGAACAAAGTCCAGGCCTGTAGGATACGTCGATCTGATAAGCAAAGTGCGGGAGGTAGATTATACTGAACTGAGACGAAAGGAAATGACTGAAGAAGAGTCACACAGAGGTTAAAACAGGACAACATCTCTGCTGAGCAGAATTTTAAAACAGGACTAAATCAGCAGCAAATGTTCAAGAGGAAAAAAAATACAAACCAAGGGAAAATTCTGACAAAGGTTGGAATTCTTTGGCACAGTCAAAGTGACAGATGGTGTCATGGAGATGGTGAATGGCAGACCGTGGTTTCTGGGCGCCCACCCCTGACGTGGTGTGACCCTCAGTGTCAGCTGCAACTGGAAGCCCCCAAGAGGTTACAAGAGGACCAGACGCATCTCTAAGTTCAATTCAACCAATATCTTTTCAGCTTAGGGTGGTCAACTCATCCCAGTTTCTCCAGGAATGTTCTGAGTTTAGGAAAGAACAAAAAAGTCCCAGGTCCGGGACACAGGCCATTCTATGACGTGGCAGGGTGGGGAAAGGTTGGCATGGGGGATCTAAGACACTTGACCTTGGCATCTCTTAAGTAGGGTAGCCAAATAAGATACAGGACACCCAGTTCAATTTGAATGTCAGATAAACAACTGATCATGTATTACTGTGAGTATTCTTATGCAATACCTGGGACACAATTATGCTAAAAAATGATTCTTTATCCCACATATTGCATGGGACATACAATAAAAAGGGATTCGTTGTTTATCTGACATTCAAATTGAACCTAGCACCTATTTGCTTAATCTGGCAACCCTAATCTCTGACCTTAACATCCCACCCATTCCCCAATGGCCTGCTTGACATTCTCGCTGAATGTCCCTCGATGCCTCAACCATCCTGAAGGACCAGTGAGCCACATTCTCATCAGCCACCACTCCCATCTCTGTGAAGAGCACTGCTTCCTGCTCCCCACAGGCAGCCTGGTCTGGGATCCCCCTCTTGTTGCCCTCCTGCACACGTGTTTACCGTTTGTCCACCCCACTCAGAGTAGACCCTTCCATCTCTGGCCTCCCACCCCTCCTCCATACTGCCACAGTTTATAGTTCTGAAGTGCACATTGTGTCAGAGGCCCATTACCGCTGAAAAGCCATTGATGCTCTCCTGCTCCCAGATATACAGTACAAAGTCCATACCCACCATAATATCAACATACTCCACGATCTGGTCTCATCTACCTTCGCCTCTTATCTCTCCCCATACTCTGGCACCCCATACTCTGGCCATGTACAGAAAACCTTATTTTCATGTGCAGGGCACACTTTTGTATTTTTGTTCCAAGGGTATTGAATGCTCTTCCCTGGTTTTCCTATTCAACTGGAAGCTATTTTCCTTGCAAAATCAGCTCAAACTTTCCCTTCCCACAAACACAATTCAACACAGCTTATTCTGGCCTTTTGCCCACATAGCCATGTGAGCAAACATTGCTGTGCATTACAGTTACTACCTTATTCTTTTATCTGGAGGTTGATTTCCCTCTATCCCTGAGGGTGGAGGCCAGGTACTTATTTTTTCTACCCTCAGGACTGGGGTGCCTGACACACAATTGGCATTTGATAAAGTTTTGCTGAATGTATGTGTGAAAATATGATGAACCAGCTTACCATGGAGTAGAGGAAAAATACATGTCCATCAACTTGCATTTATCCAATATTGGTGGATTCATCCAATAATCCACCTGGCAAATGCAGATATAGTGATATATTTTCCAAATAAAAATAGGTTTTTGAAGAAACGAGGAGACAGGCTGAGGAGAAGCTGATGGCAAGCACAGAGACAGAGATGCTGTCTCAACCAGCACTCCCCTGCAGAGATGCACCACCTCAGCTCTGTGCTGTGTGGAACAGAGGAAGTGGGTGGCTTTCCGTTCTTAAGATTAAAATTTGAATGGTAAATGAGGTAAGTAAATCTATAGCTCTCTGCTGCCTGGTGAGCATGCAATAGATACTTAGCAATCGTAAAGACAAGAATGTTTCAAGATATGGGCTTCAGCATCCAAGAGAACAAGGTTTGGATTCGTGGCTTTCCTAGTTATCTGCTGGGTGACCTCAGGCAAGTTGCTTTAATCCACCAATTCCCCATTTTCTCAGAATAGTTGGGGCATAAAAACACCGAACTTCCAGGATCCTTCTGAGGGTTATGTGAAACAATACCAAATATTTAACAAATGGCAGTGTATCTGGTGTCCTATGTGAGATTATTTTAGAAACAAAAATTGGGAAGCTTGCTGTGAAATGCAGTAGTAGTAACTAACATTTATAACAACTTCTGCTCTAGTCTCAGTGTTTTATGCACTTTCACTCATTTAACTCTTTCATCTTCCAGAGGGCACAATTGGCTCAAAGTGACATAAAATGAGTTGCCCAAAGCCGCACAGCTACAAGGTGTAGAACCAGGATTTGGTCACAGGCCATCCAACTGTGCCACCTGCTGTTTGTATAACGCAGAGTCTATGAACAAAGCTCTGTGGTTATTTATTGGAGCCCCTGGGTATCTCTCTTATTGAAGAGGGCTCAGCTGGACCATTCTCTGCGGAGGGCCTCTGCCTCCGGGATGATCTGCAGCTTCAGGGGAGCATTGAAGGGTCTGGGCTCCCTGCCCATTTCCTACTGAAGGAAGGGAAATGAAAGCTAAAATTTAAAAAGGTTCAAAGAGAGTTTGATTTTGGAAAAGTTTTAGATAGTAAAACTACACGGAAGAATGGGTATAATTTAGTCATTGAACTTTCCTGGTTGAATTATAATTAAGAATATTCTTTACATATTTATTAATTTGACACCTTACACTTAATTTTAGTCTAGCATTATCTTTAGATTTTCCTTTGGTTCATACAGCTGCAACAGCCATGCACTGACTTTATTAGATCAATTGGTTGGTTGATGGATTCATCCAATAACTTATCTAGTCAATATTTACCAGTGGCCTACTGGCTTCCAAGCCCATTAGAAAGACAGGTAAGAAAAGTCCAGATCTGCCTCCAAAGATTTCTTAGCTAATAAAATGGTCACTCTGGTAAAATGTACTGCAAGAAGGGTAGCAGATGCTGTCAAGTCCCCAAATCCAGCAAATGTCCCAGTGGCTTGTATCTGGTAGGCAAACCATAAATCATTGCATAAATGAAT